AGGTGACACTCACTGTTGGCCTGCCACGCCCACCACCTCCGGGGGAGGGGCCTGGTGAAGAAATGCCCTAGCCCTGGAGCGAGAAGACCCAAAGCAGCTACCTGGCATCCGCTTAGTGCTTAATTATAAATACAGTGGAACCAACATTTAAAGAAAATGAATAGCACGAAAGGGAAACCAAAATGAACAATATACGATCCAGAAGGAGAGGTAATTACTTAACAAAAGAGACATCTAGAAAAGTTCTACTTAATAATCTTGTAGAAATAGAAATCGATATGGGCTCCTGGGTGACTCAGTAGGTTAAACAACAGACTCTTGATTTTGGCTCAGGTCATGATCTCATGGTCGTGAGACCAAGCCCCATGTCAGGTTCTGCGCTGGGTGTGGAGCCTGCCTGAGCTTCTCTCTCTTTCTCTCTCCCTCTGCCCCTTGTCCACTCATGCATGCACATGCGCTCTCTCTCTCTCTCTCTCTCTCTCTCTCTCAAAATACAGAGGGGCACCTGGGTGGATCAGTCTGTTAAGCGTCAGGCTCTTGGTTTCAACTCAGGTAATGATCTCAGGGTTTCCTGGGTTCTAGCCCTGTGTCAGGTTCTGTGCTAACAGCACAGAGATGCTCTGTTTCCCTCTTTCTCTGACCCTCCCCCACTCATACTGTCTCTGTCTCTCAAAATAAACAAACTTAAAAAAATTAAAACAAATATAGAAATAGAATATTACAATCACTAAGCAAGCACAAGATGATAATGAAGGAATTATAAACAGTTGGATATAACAATGATTATCAAAGAATCCACTCTCAACAGGCAAATATACAGGCATACCTTGGAGATACTGCTGGTTTGGTTCCAGACCACTGAAAGAGAGCGAGCGTCTCAATAAAGCAAGTCAAATGAATGAATGAACAGAGCTCTATTGTATTCTCACATGGTATGAAGCAGAGAGAGATAGCAAGCTCTCTTAAGGGCACCAACCCCATTCATGAGGGCTCCACCTTTATAACCTAATTATTTCCCAAAGACTTCCCCTGCTAATACCAACACATGGGGGTTAGGATTTCAACATATGCCTTGGGTGGGGGGTGGAAGGTGGGAGGTGGAGAGTGGGACACATTTTGTCCACAACAGTAATCTAATGCTGTATAAACTATTCACTCCCAAAGTGTCTTTTTAAAAATCCATTATCTCGGGGCGCCTGGGTGGCTTAGTCGGTTAAGCGTCCGACTTTCGCTTAGGTCATGATCCCGCGGTTCGTGGGTTTGAGCCCCGCGTTGGGCTCTGTGCTGACTGCCAGCTCAGAGCCTGGAGCCTGTTTCAGTCTGTGACTCCCTCTCTCTCTGACCCTCCCCTGCTCACGCTGTCTCTCTCTCTCCTAGAAATAAAAAAAAAAAAAAAAAAATCCATTCTCTCTCCTAGCTTCCATGCATTAGGAATTCAGTAGTGGTTGGGCTGATGGTTCCATCTTGAGGTGTCTCATTCTCATGAAGCTAGTCATTGAAGGCTTGCCTGGGGCTGGAGGTCCACTTCTGTGGCTGACAAGTTGGTGCCAGAGGTTGGGGGGAGTCCCCACAGACTGCCTAGTGGCCTCCTGGCATGGCAACTGACTCCCATCCTCCCTCCCCCCTCCCGCCTCCCCCCAAGATTACTCCCCAAGAAGGCAGTATATGCAAGACTTTTATGACAAAGTCTAGGAAGCATCACACAGTCACTTTCACCGTATTCTGTATGACACACAGGCCAGCTCTAATTTAATGTGGGAGGACAACACAAACACATGAAAGCCGGGAGGCGAGGACCGGTGTGGGCTGGCTACCACAAATGCAACAGTTTTGGCAAGAATGGGCAGAAACGTGTGCCCTCATACTCTATTATGAATGTGCAAACCGATGTACCTCATTTAGAAAATGACTTGACGGTGGACACATAAGATTTAAAATGCAAGTATCTTTGCATATATTCTGTGTGAAAGAAATGTGTGTAATGATATTTTTACTGCAGTATTGTTTGCAATGGCAAGAAAGGGAAAGACCTAACTATCTGTAAATAAGGGAATAAATGAAGGAATACTGGGGGGCAGTTACAAAGAATGTGGCAGATCTGTGACCACCTGTGGAAAGCTTTCTTTGAAGACATATTGTTAAGAAAATAAGCAGAAAGAAAACACGCTTCCATTTACATAAAAAGAAAAAAAACCCCAATACATGATTTTGTGTGTACATACGTGCATGCAAACAAAAGTCTCCAGGAAAGCTCTGGAAAAACACACGTAAACATTTTGGCAGTTACTTCTGTCAACGGTGTAGTGTGGGGAGAGGAGGCAGCACTTTCACTGACTGTCTTGTTAGAATTCTTAACACAGACGTTTTCAGTAATTTAAACATTTAAAATCAGTAAAGGACAGGCTTTGAGTGACTACCCCAAATCCTCTCACAGTGAAGAATATAGGCTCCAGTGATTAGACTTTAACTCTTCAGAGGCCCTTTCTGGCTGATAGATTTCTAGTTGCTGCTACAAGTGTGTTGACCTCAGAGCAAGTCTTTAGAAAATTAGAAGAGAGCAAGGCCTCAACTTCTGAGTCTGTATTCACTTGAGGTGCTGTGATAATAGGGAATGGCTGACAGACAGGCATTCAAATATGGGCTCCCCTTAGCCTCTCAGTTTCAAAATACAATGTTGCTATGCCTAACATACAGCACCACTATGATCAAATGAGACACTCAAGTCATTGGCACTCATTAGACACTAAAAAGGTGACCGTTAGTTTAGATCCGTCCTAAATTTCTTAATCAGAAATAAAGTGCTGTGTTAGTCCTTAGAAACATGTGGCTGGAATACATGCTAAGTGGAATGAAACCAATTGCTACTTGTGCTGGTTTATTCTTATTCTTCCCCCAAGAGTTTTTACGGAAAGAGAGGTATCAGCTTCTAAGAGTGTATTCGCTTGGACTATAAACTCAAACTACAATGTATTGTTACAGAGGAAAAAAAATCTTTAAAAACTATTACACAAACACTGAAGCATTCATATCTAGAACAATCTATCATCAAATTACTATAAATTTGTTCTCCATGAAAGCTTAACTGTAGTTAGAAAAATCATTGGTTCTAATATTAACAACTCGAGCTGAATATTCCATCAAAGTGTCTATTATTTATGAAACACCTACTAAAACAGCAACTCATTGCCTAGGTCATTTAACTTCTCTGGGTTTGAGTTTCCTCAGTGAAAAGTGAGGAGTCTGGGTTAAATTATTGCGAACGTTTCCGATCCCTGAAGTCCATACACTGTTCTCTAGCCCTCCTTCAACGTGAGGCACTTCTTTTCCAGTTTTATCAGCTGTAGCTTCTTGTTCTTCTTGAGAATGTGAATTCCAACACAAGTACTTTTTTAACCACCCCTCGACCCCAAATCCGCTGTAATAAAAAGCAGACTGTCTGTAAAATTCATCATGATGGGACACCAAAGCAGAAACCCTTTGTAAACAATGAGCAACGGCAGGAGGCGGCTCACCGATCGGCCTGTTTCAGGAAGGTGTGCAGGCCGGGCCTCAGTGCTCTGGCACAGCACACAGCGCACTGCCAAGCGAGCCGACCATAAACGACTGCTATGTAAACTGTGTTCTACTATTTGCGCCAGTGCAGGAGGGGGTCTGTGCTACCACAGCCCCCCCTCGCCTTACCAGCTTACGGTCACGTAGCAAATATGTGGCGAATTGTTTCGATCCCAAACTTCTGTACTATTTTCAAAATGTTCTGTGCATTGGATACGCTTGGGGCTGAGACTCTCATGGGATACATTTAAGAAAAGTGTGCAACAGGGTACCTGGGTGGCTCAGTAGGTTAAGGGAACGACTCTTCATTTTGGCTCGGGTCACGATCTCATGGTCTGATCAAGCCCGCCGGTGTCAGGCTCTGCGCTGACAGCATGTAGCCTGCTTGCGATTCTCTCTCTTCCTCACTCCCTGCCCCTCCCCTGTGCACACACACTCTCTCTTTCAAAAAAAATAAACATAAAAAAAAAGTGCAAGTACTTTTCCTCTTCAACATTGCAACTTTATAAAGGTAAGACATTTGAACTCTAATCATGTTTTTGCTTAAAGCCATAGTAAAAATTAGAATGTATCTTTTTCACAGAGGAGATATGCTGAGTACCAACACTGTTTTTTAACCACTGTTATAAAACTGCTTGCCAACCTCTCGGTTTTCTCATGAAGGTTAAGAGGGCTGGTCCACCCTCTCATCACAACACTCATGTGCCAATACCAAACATCTCAAGACAGGTGAGAGTCAAGGCTCTTCATTTGCATGTATTTGGCCACTATATGAAGCCATGGGTAGCTCAGTAGTGAGAATTCCAGAAAACTTCCTAATATTCAAGACTTATTAATAACACTTTAGAAATACAAGTTTTTTTTTTGAAATGTGACTTTTTAGCAAGAAACTGATCCTCAACATTTTGACAATTAAAAATCCTTTGTTCAGGACCTTAGAGCATTTTTTACAATGCATATGAATGTTCTATGGGTTGGGTTGCAGAGAGTGAGAATCTCTGAGAATGTACTTTTCTTGTATGAAGAGTTGACAACTCAGGGTTCCTGGGTGGCTCAGCTGGTTATGTGCCTGACTTCAGCTCAGGTCATGATGTTCCGGTGAGTTCAAGCCCCACATCAGGCTCTGGGCTGACAGCTCAGAGCCTGGAGCCTGCTTTGGATTCTGCATCTCTCTTTCTGTCCTTCCCCTACTCACACACTGTCTCTCCCTCTCGTAAATAAATAATTATTTAAAACATAAAAAAAAAAAAAAAAAGAGTTGAGAGCTCACTTTGTAGAGCATCACAAACAAAGATAGTGATATGACAGGGGCTGTGTCTTTCTCACCATTGTCTCCTTCAGCACGATCACGACGCTTGCACACAAATGCTTAACACATTTAATTGGAGAGGTTACATGGAACACACCAAAAACTCTGGAAATACCACGTAATGTATAATCTAGTTACATAGTTTCAAACACAAGAACAGATATTTATTCAATGAGGTAGATAGAAATACTCAAAAGTAAACTCAAAAGTAAAGCGTATTCTAAAGTGTCCACACGTGGATTCATAATGTATCTCTGAATTTATGCAGTGTTAAATGTTTTCATAAGTCTTGTCTATTCCAGCAGTTTTCAATGTTTAGCATACTTATTAAGGATTCTTATTTAGCCAAAGTAACCACTAAAATGATATAAGACAAAATAATTCATTTTATTTCTTAAATGCCTATGTATTTACAATCATAAAAATGTTCATGCATTATAACTTAGGAGATACTATACTTTCACATTTATTAAAAATTAAAAATCTTAGGAAATCTAATTACTTTTGAAGAAATTAATGGCCAATCAAAAATTGTCAATTTACTAGTATTAGCTTAAGATTATATCATAATCATGAAAACATTTCATCATGAAGACCTTCATTTTACTTTTAAAATTATACTCACAGTTTTCTGATTAAAATCTCATACTGAGGCAATAAGACTTTACTTCAAATTACAGTCACATACGGAAGGGAGCTTTTAATTCAAGGTTTCATTATGGTCCATAGTACAAAGATATATTTTCATGAGGGGTACATGATGGGAGAGCCAGCAAAAGAAATATGCTGGCAGAGGGTAGTAAATGGCCAACTAAGCATGCACTGAACCAACAGACTACTTCAAAACATGGGAAGTCCTTGATTATTGTCAGCTTTTCTATAATGTTCAGGTTCTCAAAGGTCACTGAATTTTATAATGATCTCCAAACAATTTTCTTCATGGTCATTTAAGCTTTGTCTAAACAGCTGAGTATGTTGCCAAGCAACCACACCATCTCCTCTGCTTAATTCTGCTTCCAAAATAACTTCAGTGGCACCAGAAAATTCATGATAGGAACGAAGAGTTTTATCTGTTGGAGGAAAAAAATAATTAACACTTTGCTTTTGGTAATTTAAGGACATAAAGAAATGGCTTATATATATTATATACCTAACATGTAGGTAAAAATCAACCCTTAAAAAATAAATACAATAATTCCTTATAGAGGGAATGTGTCCTTTGAAACAAAGAAATAACCTTTCTTCATCCATTTGTGTTTCACAATAAAAATCATAAGCCCTTCTATCAGAATGAGGTTATACAAGTTTTAATTAAAAAAAATTTTTTTAACTGCAGAGTATGAATGACTCTTGGCTATGAAACACTCAAATAAGTACCATTATTCTTCAGAGCATTAAATATCTACATCATGATGAATTCTCTCCTCAAATGCTTACCGCCTGACAGTTCTACTTGTGCTCCGTCGGATCGCAATTTCCACTGTATTGTTCCAGTTTGAAAGGTTTGACTACTTGTTCTAACAGAAATGCTATCTACTTTTAAGCCAACTGACCCACACTCAAACTTCCAGGAAATGTAAGCATAAGACGATCCTTCTTTTCGGGCTAAGTACACCTACAAAGGGGGGGAAGCAAGAATTGTCAGAAATGACAAAACAGTGTAGAAGCACACGTAGGCAAAGTCTTACTGTCACAGGGCATTACATACAGATGCTTTGAACACCTAATTTTTTCCCATTGAGATTTTCACTGGTAATATTTTTCATCTTATTAGCAATTTTTCCTACAGTATCTTTTGCTCTGGAAGAAAGAGACTTGGATACAGGTGCCCAGATAAGCACATTTCTAAGGGGTGCATGCTCGCCAAATTTTGGCACACCTTATTTTTTTTTCAATTAGTAAAGTCCAGCTATTTAATACAAACTTTAGGAGGAGTCCTGCTGAAAATGAAGAATCATTTTAAATGCAATTATTCTGTATCTTCTAAGTCTGGATTTTCAGACAAGCTTTTCTACAGCGAGAAGTCAAAAAAAAAAAAACAACCTCAGTCACTGCTAAGCGATGGTTTAAAAGGTAGTATTCGTGCTTGCCTCTCCCCATTCCTTCATTATAGGTGGCCATTACCACTTTAAATGTATACTATTTAAGGCATCCAACTTAACTGGCTGCTTTCAGCTCATTTCCTCACATCGTTCAGTGGACCCCACAGCCTGGGTCTTTCACAGGTAACTCCATTCACCCAAGCTCAACCCCCCAAGAATCTATTAAAAGATTTTTTTTTTTTAAGTTTGTTTCTATTTATTTTGAGAGAGATAGAGAGCAAGCGGGGAGGGTGAGAGAGAGAATCCTGAGCCACTCAGGAGCCTCAAGAATCACTTATCCCTGCTGCTCAAACTCCTACAATAACTCATGCATTTCTTTGAAATAAGTCTTGAAAACACCCTTTCCTCATTGACCACTTACCACTAATAGTCATGACTTTATGCTCACCTTTCTCCAACTGCCTAATTAACGTTTTTAAAAGCCCACTTCCTTCCTATCATTTGCATGGTCTAGGATGTACAGCAAGTAACTGGCTCATGCATTAAACCTAAACTCCTGGCCATTTTACAGGGATTATCTGTAGCTTAATTACCCATTCAAAGGAGTGGCAAAAAAAGGGGATTATCTGAAAAAGATGAGCCTAGTAGTTATTGGAAGAAAGGTGGTTGGAAGGAATGAAAAGACCGAGGGAAAATAATCTTAAGACAAATATATTCAAATTTATGTCTCAGTATACATAGATATTTATGTCTTCTGTCTTTTAGAGCTCAGTAGTTCCAAAGCTCCCCGCCCCACCCCACCCCTGCCAAAATGTGGGCATAAAACATGAAAGACTGAAGTTAGGGTAATTTCAAATTTCTAGCTTACCCCAGAACTATATATACATAGGTATAGATTTTTAATTTTTTTTTTTTGAGAGTGCGAGAGAGAGAGAGAGAGAGAGAGAGAGAGAGCGAACAAGCGGGGGAGGGGGGGAGAGAGAGAGAGGGAGACACAGAATCAGAAGCAGGCTCCAGGCTCACAGCTGTCAGCACAGAGCCGGATGTGGGCAAGGCTCGAACCAATGAACTGCAGAATCATGACCTGAGCAGAAGTCGGATGCTTAACCTACTGAGCCACCCAGGTGCCCAGAGGTTAGAGTTACCTTAATTATACCATTTGGGTCTGGGCCACAACTGCGGTTTTAACTGTCATAAGAAGGTTTTCAATAGCTGTTGAACATGTCTGAGAGAACTGCTTGTTCTATGATCTACATTTTTCAGTCCTAAAGGCATCAGTTTTAAGACTTAAAAAGTTAAAGGACAGGATGGAATTTATCACTGAATTCTTAAATGCTTAAACAAACACTGAAACACACTGTGAGAAAGTAAAAGGTCTCGCAGGCTAAAGAAACAGTGTATGGAAATGACTCTTCTGACACTGAAAATTCATATCATTTTTTCTCACCATATACTGTCTGTACCACTTTAATTAATTTATTTTAATATTTTTATTTATTTCTAAGAGAGAGAGAGAGAGACAGCGTGAGCAGGGGAGGGTCAGAGAGAGAGGGAGTCACAGACTCTGAAACAGGCTCCAGGCTCTGAGCTGGCAGTCAGCACAGAGCCCGACGCGGGGCTCGAACACACGAACTGAGAGATCATGACCTAAGCGAAAGTCGGACGCTTAACCGACTAAGCCACCCAGGCGCCCCCACTTTATTTTAACTCAGCCTTTTTAAGGGCAGAAATTACCAAGAATATGTATATTGTTTGACAATTTGAAAGATGCCAAAACAGTAAGATTTATACAGATACCCAACTGTAGTCCCTTCTGTGTGTAATAGCAACAGAACCAGTAATTATATTTAGGAGAAAAAAATACTTTAAAAGCGCTCAAAATATTCAATTGTTTTTTCTACAAGAAAAAATAAACCATGCTTTTTGGTAACTATTGGTTGTTCCTAACTTCGTGTTTTCATAGACAAATTTTTGGCTGTTGGTTTTCTAATTCATAGATACAACTTACTGTATGCAAGTTCTACATGCTTGGTCTTCAATTTCAGGGACTATGAAGAGCTACCTTACTTTATTAGCAGGGACAGTAAAATCAGAAGTTGTGGAGATTTCCTTCCACAGACCTGAAATCAGTGAAGCACCCCGCCCCTCTCTCCAGTGACCTGCCCCTGACCCTTTTCAGCAACTGTGGGGCACACACACAGCACAGGCAGGTCACACTGGTGGGTGAGAACGAGAGCAATCTGTCTATGGCTTAAAGGTCTAAGCTCTTCCCCTAACAATGTACACAAAGTAAACTTGTCTTTTGGGTTATGGCTGTAACCACGGTTTTCAAGACTGAGAACAACCTGCATGTCAGCTTCTTTATGCTTTATGTATTTCACATTCTGCAGAAGATCTTCACTTAAAGGCTGTCTGATTACCACAAGCCAGGCTGTTGCGTCCACTGCTGTGGTCTTCTGGAGGTCTGTGCTGCACTGTTGAAGCTGTTCTTTACTATGCTCATTTTAAGAACGATCCTTGTGTTTCGCCTGTTAAGATGAACTCTAATGAAGTTTACTGAACAGCAGACACTCTGTAGTTAGTCATTCCTACAGATATCTAATAGAACAACTCTAGTACCAGGGATTTTAATTTAATACTTCCAAACTGGTATTGCTCATTAATCTTATTTTGGTTATTCCATTTTATCACTGAAATCAAACACGAATCACTGTCAGTCCCCAATGCATTAACACCTTTCTTAGAAGACATTCATAGAAATACTATGCTTATTTCTTCTCTCGGCAGCCTCTGGAGTGACCTTTGGGTCACTAGTGTGATCATGTCCTTCCTTTGTCTGAAATCTTTCATGGTTTCCTGTTACGTAACTGCAAGGTACTCAAAGTCTTTGGGACTTGACCACTGTTACCTCTCTAGTCTCATTTCCCACTCTTCTCCTCCATATTTCCTACTACTCTTCCCTGGATATACCAGATGTTTCTCACCTGTGCTTCTGCACATGCTGTATCTCATGCCTCCTTCTACATCTTGTCTCCACACCGAGAAACTCTTCCCCTGCCACCTTCTCCAAAGGCCTACTGAGATATTAGTTCTTCTGCAAGGTTATCTCTGACTCAAGAAGGGAGACTGGCTCTTCCTTCTGTCTTCTCTCCCTTAGAGTCACATACAGACCCATATTCTTCTAGCACTTATCTCACCAATCTGAGCAGCTGGTCCATGTCTTTTTCCTTCACCAGTCTATGCTCACCTTGAGGCTTGACTCTTAACTTACCATTACATCCTAAGTGCCAAGCACAATGTCTGACAACGCACACTTACTAATGACTAATGTCATACAGCAAAAAGTGCTAAAATGACTCTAGTGACAAAAAACGATACTTTGCAAATATGCAGAGTACTTAAGAACATGCAAGGGGCAGTCCAAATGAAGACAGAGTATTTGTGATACCCTACACAGACTGAGGTGGTATAGAATTTATGCTATATACATTCAAACATTCTTTCTTGCATTCAGCAATCTTTACTAAACATTTATCAGGCACTCAGCTAGATACATGCATACTGAGAGGACAAGGGAGTAGAAAAAGACAAAGCCTTTTCTATGAGAATGTTTACAACTAGTAGGACAGAGACAAATAATCTATATTTATTGAATAAATGTCATGAAGGAGGGGTACATGGTACAGTGAATAAATTAAGGCAGGAATGGATCCAGCTAGCTGGAACAGGAGGGAGTGAGGCTTACACCAAGCTCTAAGGAATGGAATACGTGAATCTAACCAAAAGGAAAAGGAAAAGAGGTTCTGTGGAGCGAGTAGAAGGGCAATGCAGCTGCAATGCAGAGCAAGGGGGTACCCTGGTGCAAGGTGAGGCCCTAGAAGGCAGAGGCCAGACAAGGAAGAGACCTGAGCTGTTTCTTACCCTAAGAGCACTCAGTAACTACTGGGACTTGGAAAATGCTTGTCTGGCTTACACCATGGAAAACAACTATGAAGGGACCAGGGCAGATGCAGGAAGCTATTAACGTTTTTATCAACGCGTTATCATCTGCCTCCTAAAAGGTATATTGGTTTTCTTGATTCAGCTTTTTATATTTCTTCCAAATCAGACATCACTGAACAATGTGCTTGGTAAGTAGTAAAATTCAGTAACTCTCTGTGTTCCTGGGAGACTGGATCTTAGAGAGGGCAGGACTCTGTTCTAAATATGTGAGAGCAGGCTGCATGTGCGGTCATGACACCCGGCTGGGGGTTACGAGAAATGGTGTGGTGGGAAACAGGTAGGTTCCATAACTAACTGGAAGTATGCTAGTACAAAACTAAAGACATCGACTTATTTGTAGGTGGAAAATTCAATGTTTCAAGGGCAATATATTACCTCGGATTACAAGTATAATTCAGATTCTAATTTTTTTCTTCATTTGGTATTAAATACTGTAACTGGTAACAGATTTCACTCGACTTTAAAAAGTGATGCCATTTGTAAAGGTAAATCAAGGCCTAAACTTTAATTGAGTAGCAGCCTATTTTTATTTAATGGCCTCTGCATCTCGTTTACAGGATTTGAATCTTACTCATACCATATCCCCCTGGCCACATGGTCTATTTAGAGAACTCAACACGCCAGTACTCTATGCTTTTCCCTGCTGTTCCCTTGCTCTACGAACACCTACTCATCCGTCAGCGTCCAGCTCAAATGTCTCCCACTCTGCAGAGCGATCCCCAACTCCCACAGCCCCAGCTAATTACTCCCTCCTTGGTGTTTCCATAGCAATGTGTTGATATCCTTATTATAGCATTCTGCATCGTGGGTAAGAGGGCTGTTTATGCTTCAGCTTTCCCTGTTAGATTGTGAGGGCAGAAGCCGTATCTTTATCTTTTAAACCATGGCGCCAAGAACAACGCCTGACAATAACAGCCGTTCAGTAGATGTTTGCTGATGAACAAATGAGTGAATAAGACAGAAGACATATGCCACAGAATCGACCTGCTTCTCATCACATCGCATCTTCTGCAGCGTGTCACTGTGTTTTTCCATTAATTTTCTCCACCAACACTGCTGGTTAGGAAAAAAGGCATACTTTTTCTTTAGTTCCACAATGATAGCTTAGTCCTTGGATAAATAGCATGTCTATCCTGTCTTGCTTTCTGTTCAGAAGAACTTTTAGGCTGAGGATAGTCCTCCAGAGAAGTTTGCCCTTTCTCATTAACTGTATAATCAGTTATAAATATACATAACTTAACATTTAAAATTTTATCTTGCTCTATTTTTTATGTTCTTCTTTACCTCAAATGGAAAAATTTATACAATTTTACTAATGTTGTTCAGTTATCCTTGGTTTAATACAAAAAGATCATCAAAATAAGCACCAAGGTAAATTTTAGAAAACTTATGACTTGGAAAAGAAAAAAACACAGGGCTCTCCCCTCTGCCTGTCTTCTGTACTCTGACTGCTGTCTAGTACGCTGACAAGCACAGACTAAATTCTCCTAACACGCGAGCAGCTGCTAAGCTGTGACTCGCTTTTTACATGTAGCCACCATGTCCTGCAAGTGAGCAACTTCTCTTCCCACTCAAACACCCTGGCAAATTAACTTTAAAAGCTCCCTAGAAGTTCACTAATTCCTATGAAAATCTATCAATAATATGGTTAGGTCTACTGAGGTTACGTGAATAGTTTTGAGTTTATTTTTGGTGTGTGTCTAAGGGGTAGGACAGTTTAAAAGCAAAGCTTCTTAATTAACAGATAACATATGAAAACAACATGCAAGCTGGTATAAGTGAAATACTATAGGCCTAGCATCCATTTCTTTCTTTTTTAGGACACAGGAAGAAATAGCCAATATCACTGCTAATCATCCACATTCTTAGGAAATGAAAGCGTGTTAAATGTTCAGCTCTTGGGACTCTAGATTAAATGTTATAGTCTCCAGCGGACTGCATTTAGTAGGCAATCAACAAGTATCTGTGAAGGAATAATATAACAATATATTTTATATATTCAGGCAAAAACCAGTCATATATGCAATTATTTTTCCCCATGAATGAATTAAACTCAGCCTCTTTGATGAAAATGGATGCTTCCTTGATATAAATGCACAACCTTCTTATACAGAGTTTTGATTAAACATTGGGAGGAGGATTTTCTTTTACATGTTTAAGGGTTACTAAAAGTAATTTTGATGTATCAGTTTTCACATTATACACAACTGAAAAATGAAGCCAATCTATATTTGTTTAAAACAATGACAAAGTTCTTAAACAGCTTCATGCAGGAAATTACCATGTTCCAGTCTGTTTCAACTTTTCTGAATATGGATTCCATTTTCCACACACCATTCTCCCATCCAGAAATGATTTGATTATTATTTGAAACTCGGACGTAATGATCTTTCACAATATTATAACAGAGGTGGAGCTGTTTGGAAATCTTCTCATTTTCAGAGGGAATGAGCAGGGTTTCTTTTCTCTTAAAAAGAAAGCAGAATTAGTTTTTCAACATAATGGAAGACTATATATGAGGAACTGCTACGTACAGTGGTAAGAGTTTCCTTCAACTTGAAAATGAAGAGTTGGTCCCATTAAAAAATTTGGAAAACATTTTATAGGTTAAATATGATTAGTATGATGTGGGTATAGCACCAAACATTACTAAACAGAAAATGAGAAGTATAAACCATAGCTCTGATTTATATTGTTGTGATTTTTGTTCAACCTAAATTCATTTATTTTTGTTCATTTCTACTACCACCAGCTCAAAACTGGACTCCTTCAGTTGTCTCCTAAAGTTGACTCTCAGCTATCAATTCTACCTTTCCTGTCCAAGCTCCATATAGTAATGAAAGTGATTTTCTAGAAATGTGAATTGGGATATGTCACTTTCTTGCCTAACTCACTCCAGTGACTTCCCACTGTACTTAAAACTCCAAACCTTTATCAAGGCTAATAGGGCTCTAAATGATCTATTCCCTACTTACTTCTCCAACCAATCTCATGTTACTCTTCTATTAGCTCTTCAGAAAGGTCCAGCTAGTTCCCGCATCGGGGCCTTGAAAAATGTTGTTCCTGCTATCTGAAAAGTTGTTCTTTCTATGCTCCATATACCTCTTTCTCATCATTCAGATCTCAACTTAAAGCCAGTTTATCAGTGCCCTTTCCTGATATCCTAAGGTAGGAGAGTGCCTGGGATACATAGCTTGAAACAATCTCCTACATGTGTGAAGCTCATGTTTCTCCTTAAAATTCCGGGAAAAATTTGCATCCTAGCCCCCAAATAAATCCATGTTTCTTGTAATGTAAATCAGTCCCTAGAAATCTGAAATCACTGAGTGAATCTAGTGTTAGAAAAAAATGATATATTTATCCCGCATTTTTATATGCCACTGAAACACTGGTCCCTGTCCTTTAGACATGCGCATAGTAGCGTTTGGGTCAGACAATTAATTCTTTGTAGCAGGGGCTGCCTGTGCATTGAAGGTTGTTTAGCGGCAGCCCAGGCCTCTGTCCATTTGATGCCAGTGGCATCCCCCCTCCCAGACGTGACATCCAAAAATGTCTCCAGATACTGCTGAACATCCCCTGGAAGGTGAAATCAACCACACTGAGACCACTGCTCTAGTCTATGTCATTATGTTGCCACAGTATTTGCTAATCAATCAAAATAGTAGTCAATGCTTTTTTTTTTGCTGAAACATTGGGTACTACGTATTAAACAATATGAAAACTTCAAATGTATAACAATCGATAAGCAGAATATAAAACATCTTAGAAAAAAAGAAAAAAAATGTGTGTGTCTGTGTACATATATATACATCACTGTTGGAATTCTTCAAACAGTAATATTAAATGTAAGAAAAAGAGAATTCCCTAGTAGAACCTGTGAATGTTACTGTCAAAAAGGGGGGGGGGGGGAAGGCAGCTTAATTTTAGAAACGGATTTATAATTATAAATTACAACTCAAAACAAGCATGTAACCAAACTCCCCAATTATTTTTTTTAAATATAATTTATTGTCAAACTGGCTTACATACAAGACCCAGTGCTCATCCCAACAAGTGTCCCCCTCAACGCCCATCACCCATTTCCCCCTCTCCTCCACCCCTCATCAACCCTCAGTTTGTTCTCTGTATTTAAGAGTCTCTCATGGTTTGCCTCCCTTTTTCTCTGTTTGTAGCTATCTTCCCCTTATTTTCTATTTTATCAAAAATATTTTAGGGTGCTGACATAAACCAAATGGAAATAAAATTCAAAAGTAGCATTATCTACTACTTTACAAAGGATAACTAATTACCAAAGAGAAAAGAAAAATATTTATGCTACTGAACATAATCATGTATGCAGCTGAATAATCAAGAGTATGACTAACATTAGTATTTCATAAATCTTTTAAATCTAAGATTAAGATAAAACTTTTCTTTCTGGAAATTATATCACCAATGTTTCCTTCTTTTTCCAAATAATTTCAAGGTAGAGTTCCATAATTTTTTAGGACTGACATTTTTCAATTAACTTTTAAAACAAACATTTACTTCTAAACAGGAAAATGATTTTTTAAATCCATGGCCTTACTGGTCTCCAGTAACAGAAATTTAAAAAAAAAAAATTTGAAAGGGAAGATAATCTGGGCATATGACCCAATTCATATTTTTAAAGTTTAATCAACTTATATGCCATACCAGAGGAAGCACATCCATCCATAAAAAGAAAAGAGAATGAAGACCTAAATAATATCGACATTTTATTTAAATTGAACACAGCTGTGAATTAAATTAGCTCTTTTAAATTGGCTTCATTTAGATTTATACTTGTAACTTGCACTGCATCAGCAGTGATTGGAATTATCTGTTGAATTTAGATCTTGTAATTCTATGGCTGAACCAACACTTCCAACTGCCTCCTAAAGATGAAATAAATTAAGAAGCAAACATAAAGTTTACTGGGGATAATTCACCCATCTTAGACCTATTCCTTTATTGGAGAAATGAGCTGCAACAATGGAAAATTTAGAAAAAGTAGATTTTGTGGAGTCTATTTTGTGTGGAATTGTCTGATATGATACTGTGGTGGGTTTTTTTCCTCCCAAGCATTTTTCATTACCTACCTTCCATAGAAGGTATAGGAATACTTTCTAGTGAGTCAACTTTAAGTTCCCTAGGGGCAAGGGACAGTCTATTTTACTTTCTTAGTGTTCATTACAGAGCCCATTGCTTTTCACCCAGTCCCTAACTACAGGCATATTTCCACTGCTCATTATTTAATTTGGGGACATTAATCAAGAGAGAATGTTGACAATAGTAATCAGAGCAGCAATGATAATTTCTAGCCAATAACAAATGTAGACAAGTATGTAACAAGAGATAAATACTTTCATTCACTGAATTATCCAGATTCTATTATTTTTCTCATTGTACTATAAAAAATTTCTAAAAATGGAAAACAAGGCTTTTTGAAACTTCTAAAATCTTACTTTGAAAAACTTAAATAGGCACTTCCCAAAAAGAAGATATCCAAAAATTTAAAGAATAGGCAACTTCAGTCATCACCAAAATGCTAGGTAAAATCACAATATAATAGTACTACATAGATCCAGAACTGCTAACATGAAAAAGACAATACCGACTACAGGCAAATACGTGAAAAACTCTCATCCACTGCTCGTGAGAGTGTAAACTGGCACAACCACTTTGGAAACCTGCTTGGCAATATCCACCAAAACTGAAGAACCCTATCACCTAGTAATTCCACTCCTAGGTATAAACCCAACTCAAATGCATACATACATACATACATACACCGAAAACATGTATATAAATGTTTGCAGCAGTACAATTTTTAACACCCAAGACCTAGAAACCCAAATGCCCATCGATGGTGGCACAGATAAATTGCATTTATACATTTACACAGCAGTGAGAAAATTCGTGCCATAACCATGTAGCACCAATTCTGAATTTCATGAAATAATGTTAAGAGAAAAAGAACTCTGAACACTGTTCACAAAAGAGTACATATGGTACAATTCCATTTACAAAAAGCACAATAATACGCAAAACTAATCTACGGGGTTAGAAACCAGGCTAATGGCTACTCTTAGTGGTGGAAGCAGTGACTGGAAGAGAACTCATGGCCGTTCCTGGGATTCTTGTGGCCTATTCGTCACTCTGGCTGGTGGTTACATGGATACTCAATCTGCGAAAATTTGTTACGCTGTATGCTTATAATTTGTGCATTTTTTCTGTACGTACCTCAGTAACAGTTCTAAAAATTTACACAGGAAAATCCCATTTTAAAATGCTTTTCTAACTCCTGCATGCAAATATACTATGTCAATCAATGATCGGTTCTCTTCAAATGTTTGCATTTTTTCATAATTACTCTAAAAAGCTAACTGAAAGGTCCTGGCCAATGCATTTTTCTGTCAGTAAAGAGTACACTATAGGAAGCAGTCAGGTGGAAAGATTATCATGCTATAATGAATTAAATACCTCTAGACCCATTTCACCTCGGGCTACTCTCCAAGCCACTGACCCAGATATTCTTCCACCAAGTTCTCCAGGCTTAGGGGTTTTCGGAGATATAAACTCAACAAGTTCCACGATTATCCTCTGGAGAAGTTCTTTTCTTCTGTTTTCCGACAAAGATATTTGCCTCTGTAATTCAGGTTTTAAAAAGTCATTAAGATTAGGGAAATGCAGAGGTCCATCTCTAAGTCAGTATATACTTAAAAAGCATTTGTATTTTAATGGGATCTTGAAAAGACTTTCTGTTCACATGTAGTTATTTGGAAAATAAATAGGACATTGTGGAAAACTGAAAATAATTTTATGAGTTTTACATGAAGAAATCATTTAACATCCATATCCAACTCCTCATGACCTTTAGTGTCCTAGATATAAAATGACGGGTTGGCAACTTCTGCTTCCAGCTACGATAGACCACCTCATGTACCAACTGTTCTATTGAGAAAAGGTACAAAGCTGGGCAGAACATTACATGCAGACACAAACATACAAGACCCTGTTTAAATGCAACAGAAAGCTCTCAAGGCAAGCGCAGCTGTAGAAGCTAAGATCCCAAGGAAAGAAATGAACTGAGGTGAACTGAATACACTCCACCTCTTTTCCCTTCCAGACATTTGCCAAGTATTAACTGGTATGAGCAAGCCATGCACAAAATGATGGCTAAGAGAATTTTTACAGAATCACAGTACTGTGGAGTAAATACACTGGAGTTCAGAGCATTTCAAAGTGAGAGGCTCTAGTAAATACTCCAGATTTTCAGTCTAGGGTCTTTGAAGGGCTGCACATCAGAAGGTAAAACAGACTAAAACTTCACCCTGAATCTCAATCACTGGATTAAGGTGATTCTAACTGCCTGCCAAGAAGCAAAATTGATGGTTTGGCTTTTAAATTATAAAAAAACCCCACACACGTATAATAGTAAAAAACGTCAGTACTATCAAAGGGATATAAAATAGAAACCGATTTTCCTTTCTGAACCTCCAGTTCCTCTTTTCAGAAGTAGTCATTGTTAACAATTTCCTCTCCTTTGTTTCAAAAATTTCCACACTTGGACAAGTGTGTGTAATTATATTCAAGACATAATTTCTTTGAAAAATGAAACATACTTTTTAATAGTGTTACATATACTGAAATTTTGTTTAATTAATTTTAATTAATTTATGTTACTACATAAAACACCCACAGTATTTAAAAGGGGTCCTCAAAATTTTCAATGAACAAAAAGACATTTACATAGTAAAATACTTTTGGTTACAAAATAATGCTCTTACTTTAAGAATTTCAATGGATTGAAAGCTGGCCATTCTTGATTATATAAAAAACTTCAAATGTCCCCTCAAAAATGACAAATGCCCGGGGGCACCTGGGTGGCTTAGTCGGTTAAGCGTCCGACTTTCACTTAGGTCATGATCTTGCGGTTCATGGGTTCGAGCCCCGCGTCGGGCTCTGTGCTGACAGCCAGCTCAGAGCCTGGAGCCTGTTTCAGTCTGTGACTCCCTCTCTCTCTGACCCTCCCCTGCTCACACTGTCTCTCTCTCTCCCTCCTAGAAATAAAAAAATAAAAAAATAACATTAAAAAAAATGACAAATGCCCATACCTGCTTATTAAGTCCATTAATAGTTTCTCGAAGTAATTCTTCTTTAACCTCAGTTCTTCTGGAGATTACCTCGTCGTGTTTACAAGAGTATCGCCAAGTGACATCAACCACCTCAAATTATAGAATATGATATTTAACAAGATTACAACCACCAACCTTAATTCTAGAATGTATGTAATTCTTATTGTTTTTGTTGTTGTTTTCAAGTAGTCTTCATGCCCAGTGTGGAGCCAGTGCAGGGCTTAAATTCATGACCTTGGGATCAAGATCTGAGCTGAGATCAAGAGTCAGACATTTAACTGACCCTGAGCCACCCAGGTGTCTCCAGAATGTATGTAATTCTTAAACAGATTTTTAAAATGCTATCTTTTCTTTAAATTTTAAAACCTATATAAAAAAAAATATGCTTTTTATTCATTTTCTAACTGGCATACTTTCTTTCAAGAAAGACTGATAAAATGAGATTTTCAGAACATTTAACTTTTAAAACGTATCTACAAAATTAATTTCATAATATTCAACTAATAAAAAGTTTTTCCATTTTTATTGTATTAAATTTTTATCAACTAATTTTTGACAAAGGTACAAAAACAATTCAGTGGAAAAAAATAATGTTTCAACAAATGATGCTAGAACAATTTGTTATCTATCTAGTGAACAATGACTTTCAACTCACACACTGGACTATACATAAAAATTAACTCAAAACGAATGATAGACCCAAATGTAAAACCGAAAGTATAAAACTTTTAAATCTGGACTTTCTCAATTTTGTCTCTTCAAAAGTCACTAACAGAATGAAAAGACATTCTGACAAGGAGACAAGGAGAAAATCTTTGCAAAGCATTTACCTGAAAAATGACCTGTATGCAGAATATATGAAGAATTCTCAAAACTTAACAATAAGAAAATGAACAACCCAATTTAAAAAAATGGGCAAAGAGGACTCTGCATGTCAAACAATCACAAAAGAAGATACTTGGCATCTTCTGTCATTACGGAAATGCAAATGAAAACCACAATGAGACACCACCTCACATTCCAGATAACCATGCTAAGTGTCAGCAAGGATACAGAGAAACTGAGAACTCTCACATACTGCTGGTGAGAATGTAAAATGGCACATGGTTCTAGAAAACAGTAAGTTTCTTATGACTCTACCGTATGATTTGGTCATTCTACTTCTAGGAATTTACCAAAGAGAAAAGACAGCAAATGGCAATATAAAGGCTTGTGTCTAAGTGTTTGTAGCAATTTTTTTTGAAATGTTAAAAAACTGGAAATTATCCAACTGCCCCATCAACAGGTGAATAGATAAACAAACTATGGTACATACATACAACTGAATATTAGTCATCAATAAAAATAAATTATTGATACATGACAATAACATGGGTGAATCTCAAAATAATTGTGTTGAGTAAAAGAAACAAGACTGCACCCACCAAAATAAGCATATATATTGTATAATTCCATTTTATATAAAACTGTAATAATGGGGTGCTGGGGTGGCTCAGTGGTTAAGTGTCTGACTCTTGATCTGGGCTCAGATCATGATCTTGAGGTTGTGAGACTGAGCCCCACATTAGGCTCTGTGCTGACAGAGTGGAGCTTACTTGGGATTTTCTCTCTCTCTCCCTATACCCACCTCTGCCCCGCCTCTCTCCGGCTTGCGTGCTCTCTCTCTCTCTCAAAATAAATTAACACTAAAATCCCCAAAAACCTCTAGCAATCTACAGTGAGAAAGCAGATCCATGGTCCATGGCTATCTAGAGGGGCAAAAAGGAGGGATAACAAAGGACATAAGGAAACTTCCAGATACACTGCATATGTTCACTATCTTGACTGCAAAGATGATTTCATGGGTGCATACAAATGACAAAATTCATTAAATTGTACACTTTAAATATATGCTGCTTACTGTATCTTCAAAAGCTGTCCAAAAAGGAAAGAAATTCTATTTAATTCTTAGGGAAAAAAAGTTTTTTCTTATGCTTTACCTCATCCTTAGAAAATGCTATGACATAGGAAAGCTTCTTGCCCCACCCTACTTCATAAAGGAGCGGCTTATCACAGACATCTTCACACGGGTCACAGTGCAGCCACCGCTGCTGAGAAGGAGAATAGACTTCTGTCCAGACATGGTCTACTCAAATAAGAGACAAGAGAGCATTTTATTAAGGAAATAAAACTGAAGTTTATAAAACCAGAATGATTTTAAAAAACTACATACAACGTGCTAAGATAAGGATCATATGATAATTTCTAACAGTCTAAATTTTACTTAATAGGACTGGATATTTGGGGGCACACAAAACCCTAGAACTTTTGTTTTAATTTCTCTGAAATCTCTGTCTCTCTGAAATCCTTAAAAATGTTTTTGGAATATGTCCTTTAAGGTAGTTAGCTTTAAGTTTAATTAAAAATAATGTGAGCTATAACTCTAAAAAGGCGAACATATTGAACAATGGCATCAAAAACACTGGCCTCAGTTTTTGCTAATGTGGAGTCAATGCCACTTTGGAAACTACCATCTCTCTTGATGGTTAAGACCCAGAACTGGTAGGAGGCCTAACAAAGGATCTCTGGCTATCGATGTTCTGCATTTGACTGTACGAGAACAGTAACTCTAGAGTGAAGGTTTCATTTTATCCTACAAAACAACAGAAGCACAAGTAAAACTCTAAGAACTAGGAAAACAACTTTTTAACATGGAGATAAGTCATTTATTTAATTTTTAAATATAATTTATCATTAAATTGGTTTCCATACAACACCCAGTGCTCATCCCACAAGTGCCCTCCTCAATGTCCATCACCCACTTTCTCCTCTCCTTGCCCCCCGATAAGTCATTTCTAAACAAGAACATAAATTTCACATGGCTTTTATTACATTTTTTTGTATAATGAGATTATTATATCTTTTATACTAATCTCTACAAAAATGATTTCTACAGCATATTGCATGTTATTATTCATATAGGAAAAGCATTATTAGAAATGTCATGGTAAATTGTTAGTAAAAGAATGTTTATAGGCCATGTTTAAAGTACCAGGCAAAATGGCAGGTGTTCTAGAAAAATCTTGAGATTCCCCTCACAAAACTATGAGGTTGGTACTGGTGTTATTGACAGAAGGCAAATGGAAGCTCAAATTGACAAGGCCAGAAAGTACCAGACAAACAATGATGAGCCCAGGCTGTAAATCCAACCCTGAGGTGTGCACAGCCCTCCTCTGTCCACACCACGCTCTGTACCTGTGTAATCCCAAACATAGCGAGCTTCGAACCCTAAGGCTCGGCAGCACAGTGTGAAACAATTGGCCCACTCGCCACACCGTCCGCATCTCGTTTCTAAAAGTTTCTCAGGGTTGTTATACCTGTTTTAAAATAACCACAGAAAAGCCTTGATTCATTATCATAATCAAGAATTTTAAACAATTTATATTACCTCTGTGCTAAACAGCAGTATTTCTTAATTTCATATTTTTAAATATCACTTTTTTTCACTTCTTTTTTATTCTTATTTATTTACTCATTTATTTTTAATTTACATCCAAGTTAGTTAGCATATAGTGCAATGATTTCAGGAGTAGATTCCAGTGATTCATCTCCTAATGTATAACACCCAGTGCTCATTCCAAAAAGTGTCCTCTATAAGGTCCCTCACCCATTTAGCCCATCCCCCCTCCCACAGCCCCTCCAGCAATCCTCAGTTTTCTCTGTATGTAAGACTCATTATGTTTGGTCCCTGTCCCAAAAATTATTTTAATTGAAATATAGTTGACTTACAATATTATATTAGCTTCATTTCACATACTTAATGATTAAAGAGCCTAAACTATAAGAGGCACTGTGTTAGAATCTATACTGAAAAATGACTGAACAGTGGTATAGCCTTCAAGTTTACAGGTGTGAAGAGGAAGAAGGTAGAATGTGACAAAACCACACACAACAGGTCAGATTTAGTGTTAGAGGAGCGGCTGGGAGGAAAGTTTGTATTTGACCGAGGCCTTGGAGGACAGGCAAGATTTGGATAGGCAGAGATTCCCTAGGAAATCTGCTTAGAGCATTAGTATTATTCTAATAAGCGGTATAATTAGCTCACGTACTTAAAAGGCAAACAACTTTAACAATCTACTCTATTTTAAAACTTAGTTGAACTCAAATCCACTTAAATACTACTATTCTGTCGAATGATCTTTTTGACTGAAACTTTTTCTTCTTAACCACTTCAAGGTGCTTACTAATTTGGAAGTTGTTTTTTGAAAGATGTTTGCAACAATCTTTTAAAAAGTTGCTCCAATTATAACATTATCATAAAACTGGTGAACACCAAATTTTGCATACTGGGTTGAGAAGGATTTCACTGACAAAGCTAAGCAAGAAAAGTACCCCAGCTGAGCAGAGATGTTGGCCATAAGCTTGTAGAAGGAAACCAACTGCATGAATGAATTGGCTTTGCAATAAGTTTGTCTTAAGCAGATGCCATTAAACTACCTAAGTTAAATAAATTTATAACTAACGTAATTAAAAGTAACTGAAAACAGATGTAAATTCACATAAAGAGGTATTAGTGGTGGAATTAGAGCATCCTATGCCTCCTCTAAATACTACTTGTGCTAAGTGGAATAACCAGCTTAGCCTAGAATTAAATACTATTAATCATCCCAGCCCTATACAGAGAACACCTAATGGTAAAATGATAAAGTAGGTAGAAAGGAAATCAGTAAATATCTTTGTTAGCTTGTGCACCTCCACACTGTTATTAGTTTACATTTCGCTGTCTAGAAAAGTTTATGAGGAGACAGAATTATATACTTAATTCTTTAAAAAAAAAATTTTTTTTTAATGTTTTATTTATTTCTAGGAGAGAGAGACAGACAGCATGAGCAGGAGAGGGTCAGAGAGAGAGGGAGACACAGACTCTGAAACAGGCTCCAGGCTCTGAGCTGGCAGTCAGCACAGAGCCCGACGCGGGGCTCGAACCCACGAACCGCGAGATCATGACCTAAGCGAAAGTCGGACGCTTAACCGACTAAGCCACCCAGGCGCCCCTATACTTAATTCTTTAAATCTTTGCAAAGTATCTGTACAAATGTATGCTGCATGAAGAAATCAAACTTGGATTAATTTTTTATAATTACTGGATATTGGATTCTGTATATCATAGGGCTGGTTCCTAGTTAGGACAAAACTGATTCCCTACACACACAAAATTAGGTATTTCAAAACTTTTCTTTTCTTTCAAAACTTTATCTTTTCTTGACTGATGATACAACCAACGTTTATAAGCACTGCCAATTTAAAAAATCTGGTAAGAGGCTTGTGAATTAAAGGATGAAAAAAGTTAATTGAAAAGTTCAAATTTCCTTAGTTTAAAATTTAAATAATGAGGATAAATTAGATTGGGCAGGGAAGGCATCTGATTAAAATTCTGTCCTTAATATGATGGAACTGTACTTCTACCTTCCAATTTATCAGTATTAACATCATTAGTGTTGTTTTTATGTGCTATCAATTATTAATAAAATTATCAGAAAGTTAAAAGTTATGTAATTAAAAGAACAAGACCAGATTTACAGTCTTAGGGCGGCTGGGTGACTTAGTTAAACAACCAACCCTGGGTTTTGGCTCAGGTCATGATCTCGCAGTTTCATGAATTTGAGCCCTACTTCGGGCTCTCCACTGGCAGCATGGAGCCTGCTTGTGATTCTCTCTCCGCCTCACTCTCTGCTCCTCCCACAGTTATGCTGTCTCTGTCGTTCAAATAAGAAACTTAAATAAAATATTTTTAAAAAAAAGATTTATAGCATTAAGTGTGCTAAGACCACACTCTATTTATTTATTTTAAAATATTTATTTACTTTTTGGAGAGCGCAAGCTAGGGAGGGGCAGAAGGAGGGGGACAGGGGATTCAAAACAGGCTTTGCACTCAGAGGCTGACAGTAGTGAGCCCAATGAGGGGCTTGAACTCATGAACCATGAGATCATGACCTGAGCCCAAGTTGGACGCTTAACTTACTGAGCCACCCAAGTACCTCTACACTCAATATATGCTAGAGCAAGAGTAAACAAATTTTTCCTATAAAAAGACAGTAATTGGGGTGCCTGAGTGGCTCAGTCGGTTAAGTGTCCAACTTTGGCTCAGGTTATGATCTCACAGTTTGTTGAGTATGAGCCCTGCGTTGGGCTCTTGCTGACAGATCAGAGCCTGGAGCCTGTTTGGATCCTGTGTCTTCCCCTCTCTCTCTGTCCCTTCCTTGCTTGTGCTCTGTCTCTCTCTCTCTCAAAAATAAACATTAAAAAAAAATTTTTTTTAGACAGTAACTAGTTTAGACTTTGCAGGCCATATGGATGCTGTTGCCAGTATTTAAACCCGACATTATAATCTGCTTATAGACCATAGCATACAAATCAACACAAATGTGCTCCAATATTTACTAAAATTGGATGTGGGTTGGACTTAGCCTACCAGCCATACCCTTGTCCTAGGGGACTATATTTCTAATAATTAAAAAGTTCACTTAATAAAAATTCTTTTCTAACCATTCTAAAGTCAGATCACTCTGACTTTACTGTCCAGTGGACACTCACCTTGGGAATCGATTGCTGAACTGGCATGTATCACAGTAATGATCTTCTACTCTGTTCGCATCCCACTTCAGTTCATCATCATTGGGAAATAATGATTCACCTCTAGACTTAGTGTGGCCACCACATTTGCTGCACAAAATGTCATTCACCCACTGAAAGAATTCTTCCTTAAACCAGTGTAAAAGCTCCAGCAGAAGAAAATCCTCTTCACTAACATTAGTACCTGAGAAGTTAAAACAGAACCAAGTAAGATCTAAAGCTGAAGAAACTAAAAATACACACACATATTTTATTCTCAAGTATGGAGCTGAAATATATGGAAATACAAGATGATCTAATAGGTTTTCTCGGGGCGCCTGGGTGGCTTAAGTCGGTTAAGCGTCCGACTTTTGCTTAGGTCATGATCTCGCGGTTCGTGGGTTCGGGCCCCGTGTTGGGCTCTGTGCTGACTGCCAGCTCAGAGCCTGGAGCCTGTTTCAGAGTCTGTGTCTCCCTCTCTCTCTGACCCTCCCCTGTTCGCGCTGTCTCTCTCTCTCTCCTAGAAATAAATAAAACATTAAAAAAAAAAATTAAAAAAATAAATAAAAGGTTTTCTCAAATATGATGCAAGAAAAGAACTGTCAACCTACTGTGAATCAGGATGAAATACAATGACATAATACCTTGTACTTTTATAGCAGTAGGCCATTTACCACTCTGTATAAAGTGAGCAAAACACAAACCTCTCAAGGAATGAAGGTTAATGTAGAATTGATCTTGAAACACAAGGAGGTAAGAAAATCAGTCTGATTTTTAAAAATATTTAAAAATGCCTATATTCACAATTTATCAGGTGTATATATATATGTGTGTGTGTGTGTGTGTGTGTGTATATCAGTAAACATGAAAGAATCATAAAATCATAAGCAGAAATCACAGAATTCCAGACCCCTAAAAAATCACCCTATCAACCTTTCTATTTGTGCTTCAACTATACAACGTAATCCAGCTCTGGATACTCACCACAGATCAACTAAAACAGAACAATGTCTACGATGTATGTAACAACCCCAGAAAGTATGCATGGCCTATAATATTATATCTACTTTAAATACATTTCTCTTGATCATATTCAAGACTGTGGTATCTCTGGGAAGAAGGGAAGGAGAGGAGAAAAGAATCTAGAAGACATATCCAGGGAGCTCTCATTTCTATCTTTTCACATTTTATTATTAAGAAGTAATAATAAAACATACTTATGAAGAAAACATATGGCATAATTTTAAGATCTAATAAAGTTTAATGCTGGTCATTGGTGTTTTTGTATTTCTGTTTGATATAGTTCAAAATAGAAAAAAAAAACTATGTTAGAAAAAACTTATAGCTAGAATATAAAGGTTAGAAATATATTATGTTCCCAGATGGAAAAACAATATTCTAAAGTTGTTAATTATCTACCAATTATTCTGTAATTTCATGTAATCCCCATTAAAATTATAAAATAATTTAAACATTTATTTAATTTAAACATTTAATTAAAAATTTATAATTTTTCATAAAATTAGACAAACTGCAAATTCACATGAAAGGCAAAATGGTCAACATAACTTTGAGTAAGAACAATAAGATAAATTCACCTAATACAGGTCAAAACACATTAAAAAATCACAAAACTAAAATATTGTGATACTGGTGAAAAATAGACAAAGTAGATTACTGAAACAAAGGAAGATTCCTGAAAAACAGATTTCTAAGTGATACATAACATCCAATGAAGTTAGCCTTCCAAAGTTCTAAGAGGATGGTCTGTTCAATAAATGATTTGGGTACAATATAACACACATATGTACTGAGAGGAGGAATACTATAAAGGCAACAGAAGTAACAAAGAATACGTTTATGGCTTTGTGGTATGGAAGGGCCTTTTTTTTTTAACAGTTTATTGTCAAGTTGGTTTCCGTATCATTCCCAGTGCTCATCCTGATAAGCGTGGAAGGGCCTTCTTAAGCAAGATGCAAACTGAGAAATTAATAATGAAAAAAAAATAAATTTTCTTATATTATTTTTGTAACATGAATTTCAAAAGATACACTACATGCGGGGCGGCTGGGTGGCTCAGATGGTTAAGCGTACGACTTTGGCTCAGGTCATGATCTCACGGTTCGTGGGTTCGAGCCCCGCGTCGGGTTCTGTGCTGACAGCTAGCTCAGAGCCTGGAGCCTGCTTCTGATTCTGTGTCTCCCTCTCTCTGACCCTCCTCTGCTCACACTGTCTCTCTCTCTGTCTCTCAAAAAAATAAATAAAACATTAAAAAAAGATACACTACATGAAATTAAACAAAGAACACTGGGAGAAAAAAGTAACATGTTTAACAAAGGAAAGCATGCAGAATATATAAAGAACCGATTCTTTAAATCCATAAGATTAGCAAACTCGTTAGAAAAATTCAAAGTCCATAAAAGAAGTCCAATAATCTCATTAAGTAGAAATAAACACTGTCAGACACTTTTGATGTACATTGGAAGGCAATTTGTTTGGCAGGGTCCTTACAGTATAAAAGTATCACACACCCTTGACATTTTTATATTTATCCCAGAGAAACACTTGTGCATATATATACACCAGGAGGCATGCTGTACAGGAATTCTCACTGCAGGAACATTTAGAATAGAGAAAAATGGTAAATAACCCCAATGTTTATCTATAGGGAACTGTATAAATAATAGTACATGCATATTATAGAACATTGCAGAGAGTTAAAAAGATATCTAAGGTACATTAGTAAATGAAAAACATCAAGAAACTAAGGATATACGGGATGATAAATTTTATGTAAATCCACACAACTATTTTTACAGGTAACAATGGGTATACTTCCTATGTATTAACATAGGAAAAGATATGAAAAGGAACAAATCACATGATAATAGCTGTTACCTATGGAAGAGATATGACTGTTTGGCAGGGAGAGTCTAGCTTTTCCTTTTTTCAATGGATTTTTATTTATTCATTTGTTTTTTAAATATTTATTTTTGAGAGAGAGAGAGAGAATGGGAGAGGGGCAGAGAGAGAAGGGGACATGTGCATACCCCAGAAATCATGATCTGAGCCGAAGCTGGATGCTTAACTTAAATGAACTGCCCAGCCACCTAAATCTAGCTTTCCTTATATAATATGAAAGTCTGTATTAAGATTAAAAATGAACTTGAGAAATATAGCACTGCCATCCTTCTTCTCCATCAAGTTCCTAGAGCAATCTTTTTAAAAATGCAACGTAGATTATGTCACTCAAAACCCTACAATGGGTTTCCATCTCACTCAGGATACAGTTCAGTCTCTACTCTTGCCTTTTCTTATAACAGTTGGTCTCCTCTGGTAGGCTGAAAAATGGTCCACCAAAAGATATGTTACCTATTTTTTAAAGACATGCATATTCTAACCCGAGTCTATAACCATTACCAAACGTAGCCAAAAAAATGGGGGTGTGTGTGCTTGAGTGGCTCAATTGGTTAAATGACTGACTTTGACTCGTCATGATCTCACAGTTTGTGAGTTTGAGTCCCACATCAGGCTCTGTGCTGGCAGCTCAGAGCCTAGAACCTGCTTTAGATTCTGTGTCTCCCTCTCTCTACCCTTCCCGCTCTGCTGCTTATGCTCCGTCTCTCTCAAAAATAAACATTAAAAAAAGTGTTTTTTAAGTCTTTGAAGATATGATTAAGTTAAGGATATGGAGATACGGGATTATACTGGATTATCTGGGTGGGCCCTAAATGCATACTGTATCCCTATAAGAGGGAAGCAAAGGGAGATTTTACACATACATAGAAGGCCATGTGATAGTGGAACAGAAAGAGATAATGAGGCCCTGTTGACACCTTGATTTCAACCCAGTGATACTGATTATGGACTTCTGGCTTCCAGCTGCAAGCGAATACATTTCTGTTGTTTTAGGTCACCAACTTTGTGACAACTGGTTACAGCAGACACAGGAAATAGGCTATATTCTATACTTCTCTGACCTCTGTCTTGTTCATTCTGTGACAGATGTCATGTCCTCCCTGCCATCCTTTAAACAGGCCAAGCTCACTCGCACCTTGGGGAACCTTTGTGTTGTAGGCTGCCCCTAACTGGAGTGGAAATCCCTGCTTTCCTGACAACCCTATACCAAACAGGATCCTTCCGAGTCACTCTCTATTCCGTTATCCTGACTTATTTGTCTTCCCAGCACTTATCACTACATGCTGTATTTGAGTATTTGGGGTTTTTTTAGTCTGTCTCACCCAGTGACAGCAGAGACTTTGCTCTGTTCACTGCTGTATCCCCAACATCTTGAACTGTGCTTGTCATTTAGTAATTATCTGAATGAATGATGGAAGGACTAAACAAACAAGCCTCATAATATTACTTAGAACTAATACGTTTACCAAAGAGTCATTATCAAAATAGGAAAAGAAAGGGAAGGAAGACAGAATACTTGTACTTCTGCATTCTAGGTACTCCAGGGAACATCAGCAGCCTCCCAGGCAGAAGAACGAGCACCCAGAGGGTGAGGCACACTTAAGGGTCAGTGCTCCTTGATCAAGCAATATCCTTAATTATGCAAGTGGAATCCTGTCTGTAGAGGATAAGAGCTCAGAAAGCGCAGACTTATGGGGCCTAAAGGACAGTCTGACTTCGCTGCTAAATTCTCTTTTGGGGTGTGTGTGGGGGGAGGGGAGGTGCTAAATTCTGGGAGAATATATTAATGTGTGCAGAGTACATTTTAAAATTATAAAAGACGTCAATAGGGTGCCTTGGTGGCTCAGTTGGTTAAGTCTGTAATTCCTGATTTTGGCTCAGGTCATCTCATGGTTTGTGAGACTTAGCCCTGCACTGAGCTCTGTACTGACAGCATGGAGCTTGCTTGGGATTCTCTCTCTCTCCCTCTCTCTGCCCTCCCCTGTGTGCTCTCTCTTTCTCTCTTAAATAAATAAATAAACTTAAAACAAAAAAAGACTTTAGATTTAAATTTAGCATCTTCAAAAATACCATACAAATAGATCTCTGGTAACTTCTCAGTGACAAAAATAAAATGAACAACTTTAGGTCTTAACTCCATCCTACGAAAACCACAGACATTACTGTAAAAAAGAGGGAATAAGAAGAGAACCAGTTGGGGCGCCTGGGTGGCTCAGTCAACTGAGTGTCCACTTCAGCTCAGGTCATGATCTCATGGTTTGTGGGTTTGAACCCCGCGTCAGGCTC